AGGTGAGCCATTTTAATCGACCCAGTCGAATATTTCGAAAACCAAGCCCGGGAGAGAAAAATTTTTCAGACAAAAGTTGTTTGGTTTCGAGGGGACCATAAGACGGTACCATTGGTTTGACCTTGAAGGATTATTTGAAAGTCACATGAAGGTCACCTCAATTTTTCTAAACGGCATCCTCCATTTTTTATTACACATTCTTGTAGCTGACCTCGAGAGCTTTCCGAAACACCAGAATGAAATGTTTCTTCATTTAGTACTTTTCGAGTTATAAAGCTCCAAATTTGCAATTTGAAAATGCATGATGTGCTCTTTGACGTCCTAAACGGCCTCGGCGAGCTCTTAGTTCGAGGTCCCGGATTGTAGTATGATGCGGATGTTGTTCTCTTTCGCGGTAACGATTCCGGTAAACTCGCGAAGCTTCATGATAATTTAGTTCACATTCTCCGAGAACGGGGAGAATATCAACAATCTCTGAGGGACGATAATCAGCCATGCTGATTGTTGGCAAACGTAAGCCTCTGATTGTGAGTAATAAAGTTTGATACTCCGATCAACAGTGGAAGAGATTTCCGTAATCAATTGATACCTAAATATCCAATTGTATCTACAGACTATTAATTCCTATTAATTCCTATTGCAACTTTGGAGCTTTATAACTCGAAAAGTACTCAATGAAGAAACATTTCATTATAGTGTTTTGGAAAGCTCTCGAGGTCAGCTACAAGAATATGTAATAAAAAATAGAGGATGCCATTTAAAAAAATTGAGGTGACCTTCATGTGACTTTCAAATAATTCTTCAAGGTCAAACCAATGGTACCGTCTTATGGTCCCCTCGAAACCAAACTACTTTTGTCTGAAAAATTTTTCTCTCCCGGGCTTGGTTTTCGAAATATTCGACTGGGTTGATTAAAATGGCCCACCTTGTATATGAGAATGAGTCGAATTGATACTAATTTTTTGTCATGTGGTCGATTAGTTTAGAATCAGAATTTGGGGAAAATCACATTTAGAGTAACTTTCATAAAACTCTGATTAAATCGACGAATAATAAAAATAATAATAACTGCCAGAACCATTTTCGATTCTGTAATTTGTCATTCAATAATAATCGAGAAGTTAATAATTTCTGTATCTAACAAGATAGGGCAGGTGATGACAGACCAGCAATTTTAAATCGTTGATTAGCTTAATCGAACTTTGATGAGGGTCACCCTTGAACGTCTTCACTGAAAGTATATAAATCGCTCACTTACCTTAGCTAATTTTGCAGTCTTATGTACTTCTGGATCATCCTGCGCCTGTGCGAGTCTACGCGTTCGCACCGTTCGCGCGTTTGTGTTCGTCAGCGCGGTTAATTGCGAAAAGAACGCATCGGACTGCGCCTTCGAGTCGCCGGCACCCTTCTCCTTCATCGCGCTCACGTTACTGAATCTCGTCTTCCCGTTTTGTACCTGCATCTGCTGCACCGACGACTTCAACCGCCGCACCTTTTCCAGGTTCCGCAGCAGGAAGCAATGATGCTCCCGCGCGAAGCACCGCTGCTGATAAGACATCGGTCTCAACTGCGGCGCGTGCGTCAAGGTTGTGTCTCCCATCTTGCGAGACTTGCAAAGGCTCTTCGAGTTCGCTGACTGCACCGTATTCGACTTTCGAACGTTTTTCCGCGGCCTGCCAACCGTCCTCCTCTCGGTGGTTTCTGCTTGCGCTGGTAGCGCGGGGATACTGCGGGCTACCCTTTGACTTTTACCACCTGCAGCACAAAATTTGTAATTAAAAGCATTTGATCGTGAGATAGAAGTTACCGATTATATACCGAGTGGGCTACAAACTTTATTACAATTTTCCATTCTGACTTATTCAATTTATTAAATATTCAAAATATTCATTATGGATGAATTGTAATTTATTTATCTGAATTAACAAATTATTTTTAACATTTGATAACATTTCGGGAATTAATGAAGCGCAAACATCGGATATGTTATAGAATGTTAGGAATTTGTTAATTCGGACAAATAAATGTTTACAAGCCCATGATACATTTTGACGTACGTACACGTACATATTTAATAAATTAACTAAGTCAGTTATTGATATAATATAATATTTTGATTTCGTAAGTGCTTTATGTAGCTATAAGTCGAAACGTTACACTGTCATATTTTTTAATAGAAATATCTGACGAAAAAATATTTCGAACAAAACAAAGTTCTCCTGTATACTGGGGATACATATCCCTGTACGCCCAGACACATACAGAAATTTATCATTATTCATTAAAAATGTTTCTATTATAATATTAACTCCCTAATTTGGCACTAGTTTATATCTCTTTTTTATAACAAAATTAAATTATATTAAATATCGTGCATTCTTACATGTAAAAATCAAGCGATCTTAGTTGTCATTAGATATACGACTATTGGGGAATGTTTAACTTACATGACGAACATGTTCTATATTTTTTTCTCTTCTATTGATTTACCTATAACGCCTCTGCAAGCGCTACTACCGCATCTACATTGCTGCCCTTCCGATGGATTGAACAGCGCGAAATTGTAGTCGTATGTCAGCTCCTCGCCTGGTTTGATATCCCTTGATGCGAACAATGCCATGCGCGGTAATCCGTGAACACTCCATTTTTGCATTTCACAATTGGGCTCGCATGAGTGATTCACGAATCTGCCGTCACCGCCCATACGATGACCGTCGATCACCAATCCGCCATCCAAGTGCAAACAATAATGATGCGTGTCACTGGCATACCTGCAATTTCGACAGAAGCATTTTGTTACATATCTTCATTTTATTTTACACCTAAATGCATTTTTTTCTTTATGGTGTTTTTTTATAATTCCGCAATAAAGGTTATGTCTTTGTGTTCTTCACAATTTCACAAATGTTACAAGAGTTCCCGACTATTTAACACATTGAACGTTGCATTACCTATACCTGGATGATGAGTGAGAATTACAATTTATATCTATCTAGATATTTTATTGCTGCATAGACCTACAATAAAGTATATTCGACATTTTTGTAAAGCCACATTTTGAACAGTTATCATCTACACTGATTCGACAGAAATATACCGACAAATTTATCAGCTAGAGATTATTAAACAACAAAATTTTCCTATATAATTATATAAAATAATTTATGTTAAGTCCCGTAGAGCAAATGCTTTTTAGTATCACCTCGTCGATGGTAACGGATTTATTTGCCCAAGGAATATATAGCTTTATTAGTATTTGGAAGAATATTGAATAGAAAAAGACAAAATATCATTAATGTAACATTGAGAAGTTGGGCATGCTGAAAGATTCGTATGTAATATTCTGCATGACAACTAACGTGTTAAGTCTCTTGGATACTCATTTTAGCTGTCTTTCTTTAATGGCGTCAGAAGCGAGGAAAATCATGTCAATTTATGTGAATATATGGAAATAAAAGAATATAATATACGCACAAAATAACATTCGTGATCTTGTAGAAATATCCGACTTTTCTTTAACTTGAACAATTAATAAATATCCGTAAGTTAGTGTAATATGCATTTGTAATTCTGGCCACTACATTTTGAGATACACATGGAGTAATCCACGTTTATTTTTGAAAGAGGAAGAACAACCACAGGAGAATATTATGCAGCAATGTTGGACCGATTGAAATGAAGAAAAAAACGGCCTCATTTAGTGAAGAAAAAAATTCATCAAGACAATGCACCAGCTCACAAATCGGTAAAAGCAATGGCAAAATTGAACGAACTGAGGTATGAATTTCTCCAGATTTGGCCCCGTGTGACTTCTACCTGTTTCCAAATCTCAAAAGATGGCTCCATGGAAAGAGATTTGCTTCAAATGAAGAGGGAATTGAATGGGAAACAGACGCATATTATTTCTTATTAGACTTAAGCTAGAAACTTATTAGACTTAGACTTAAGCTAGAAACTCGTTGTATTGAGCTAAAAGGAGATCATATTGAAGAATAAAGTTGAGTTTTGCTAAGAAAATGTTTTTTTTTCATTTTCATTCTAAGGGCTTATCAATCACCTGGTATGTGCTAACTGACTTCAATTATTTTATCTTTAGTGTGGTCAATCGTTTTCTAATTTTACCTATGTGCAGATCGTGTTTCGATTTGCTGTGAAAATTTGGAAAGATTCTTGTAAGAAAATTAATTAACAGACAACTACCTTAACGCGTAAAAAAATTCGAACTATACCTGGTCGCCATTCTAGACTTGAACTCCCGTTCCGACACAACCTCACCCACATATTCGAGGATGAAGTTGCCAGACTTGATGGCATGCTGCGTCTTCACTCCCAATCCCTTATCCTTGGTCATGAATCTCAGCAGTCCGGGCGACCATTCGTGCTTTTGGATCTTCTGATTCTTACACTTCTCGTTGCAAGGACATAGTTGCGGCGAGCACTCGCTAAATACCATTCGATTGATGCAGTCATCGCCGCAGCCACTTTCTGGCTTACACTCGCAGGCCTGCGCCTCGTACAAAGTGGTCGGTTTCACGTCGTAATAGATATTTGTTCGGATTTTCCTGCGAGAAGAGATACAGCTTAAGTTTGGGGTCCATTTACGTAGCACGATTTACGACTAGTCGCATCGCAATTGAGGAAAGAACACGAGCAAAATACTTGGAGAGAGGTAAAACGGAAACAAGAAAGCTTTGCTCACTTGTAATTCCACGATGGCACCTTTTTCTGACTCTTCTGTTGCGGCTGGCTCAAAGATCGTTGCTTGTTTTCCAACCACTGTATTTGTTCGTACTGCAATTGGCCCTGTATCTTTCTCTGTCGCAAGAGCTTGCCGCAGTTATGGTAGACGTTGTGCGATGCGTCACAGTGCTGCATAAAGCAATCTCTGCCCTTGGAATTGTAGTCGGGCAATAAGCAACTGGGCTCGAAGAACTGATTCTTCCATCGCGACTTCGAGCATCGATTCTTTCGATTATGCACGACACCGACAGACTTCCTCACCTCTTGATCCTCGCTAGCCACATCGCTACTGGGAGGCGCCTCGCTTTCCGTGTCGTAGCCGCCACTCCTCAGTCTCTTCGTTTTCCTCAGACATAAGTTGGAGGGACTGGCCGAGCCCCTCCTCCTCTTATGATTGTTGTTGAAACAACCGGATAGTTCCATCTTAACTCCCGCTGTTTGCGCGTTCGCACGCTCCAGCTTTCGAAGATTTTCCTCGCTGAGCTCGGCGATGCGCTGACTCTGATTGTACCGCTCCAGGGTCTCTTCCAAGGACACGTTCTCGTCGTAGACACGACAGTCTTGCAGCTTCTCGAACTTGACCGGATACAGCTTGTCGGACAGTACGCTGCTGTCGGACTCGACGAGGTCTTTGCGGACCCTCAATTGACCAGCACAGGTCTCGGTGACCTCGTCTGAGCCGCTCCGGCTGGACGTCTCTTGCGCCGTGCTGGAATTGTCGAAGTTCTTCACGTCGTCTCGAGCAACGTGCCCTTTCTCCTCTTCGTTGTTCCCCGCAAGAACATCTCGGTCATCGACATCTATCAGGGACAATTTTGTGTCCTCCGCTATCACAAAACGCCTCTCTATACCTTGAACTTTGCAGAGCGCCCTAACAAGAGTCATCATCTTGGAATTGATTCCGGAATTGGCCGCGGTGGAAGAATCACCGGTCTCCTTCTTCTTCTTCCGCTTTTTCAGAGTGGGAAAACCTGTGCGATTAATGGCCTTCCGCCGCCGAATTTTCTTCTTCGTGAGCATCATCGCCGCCGCGGTGTTGTTCATAAGATTCGGCACACTCGCGTTGCCGACACAAGCCGCTTTGCTCTCGCCGACGGTCTCGGTATCGTCAAGCGCCTCAGATACCTGCAGCTCCGAATCAACCTTTATACTTTTCTCCGCACGAACGTGCTCGACGTCGGCCGACTTGATTGATGTCGTCTTCTCGGACTTGCTAGATTTTTCCACGGTGGTCTTCGAACTCTTCTCGGCGGATTTGTCGAAGATAGCTGCTCCACTGTGGCCCTCGGCTGGTAACTTTGTCACGGTGACGCGAAGATCCTTGACGATCTTCTTCTTCCGACGCGGCTGCACCTCCGACTGAGCAGCGGACTTGTCCTCGTCGCTGCCGCCCTGTTTGTTAGAGGTCACGCCGTCCGCATCGCGGAGCCGCTTCTTCGGCGTCACCGGCACCGCCTCCTCATGCACGGAGGATGCCGAACTGCCGCCGTACCTGGTGATGGTGGCCTCGATCGCCTCCTCGATATGGCTCTCCGTCGAGTTGTTCGCGTTCGAGCTCTGCGAGCTATGAGGGCTGGACACGTGATAGTGACGCTTCTTCAGCGGTAACCTCTGCTCGTTCGGGTTCGAGCTGGTGCTGGTGTTCGCGCTGTTTTTCGAGTCCGCGCCGGCGAAAACTTTCTCCTTCTTCAGCCGACGCTTCATCAGTTTCTGCTCGTCGCCGACGCTCACGTCGCCGCCTTTCCGCTTTTTCGTGAGCTTCTTCACGCGGAAGATGTGCGGCAGTTCCGAGTGGTTCGTGCCGACGTTGTTCCGGCCCAAGCTGCACGACCTCGCGAACTCCTCTATCAGCTTCTCCATCTCCTGAATGATGCACGGATTCACGCGGATCGGGTTCTTCGGCGGCGCCAGCATTCTCCGCCGGTGCTTGTGATGATGATGCTTGTGACAATAATTGTTGTGCTGCACCGGCTGCGTCGCCTTGTCGCATTTCGCGTTGGTCGCCTGCTCCGCCTTAAGCATGTCGCTGACCGGCACGGAGATCAACGTCTGCACGCCCACGCCGACGTTTATCTCGGAGAAACCGGAGGCCGGCCCGGTGCTCTTCTTGTTACACTTGTTCTCTTTCAGTACGCGTCTCGTATTGGTCGGCGGCGCGACTTTCTTCGCCAAGTTCTGCTTCCTCGACGCATTATTGCGGTTCTCCTTGGAGCTCCTCTTGCCGGCGCTGCTCACCGCCTGTTCGCAGGACGTCTGCTTCTGTCGTGTCAACGGAGTTGTGCTCTTGCTGTTAGGCGCAACCGTCCGGTCCTGTCTGACTTTCCTGCAGGTTCTACCGTCGCATTGCGGCAGCAACTTGCTCGCGGTGGACCTGCTCAGGCACTTTACTCGCATCGGGACATTAGTCGTGGCTTTCTTCATCATTCCTTGAGTCTTTTCTTGCGACAGCTTCGCGCCGTAGCGTTTCTTCTGATACATCGACTTGCCCTTCATCGACCGCTTGCTCGGCGCGTTCTCTTCCTTCCGCTCTCTCGACGCCTGCGTGCTGCTCTTGTACGGTAGCGCCTTGCCGCGTTTTCTCACCGTCGTCGCTACCGCCTCCTTCTTCTCGACAATTTCTGGTCTCAAACGCGGCCTACCGGGTCCACGCGGTTGCATGGCGGTTAACGTTTTCGCCGGCCTGCCCGGTTTCCGTTTAGGGGGATACAGAACGCGGTCGACATTCACTGCCGGCTTAGTAACGACCGGCGGCTGAATCGGGGACTGGGTCTGCGCCAGCGGACTCACAGGACTGATCGCCAGGTGCAGAGGACTGTTGTCCACCGATTGAATGCCGGAATCGGGCGACACATTCGATACGCAGGGGTACTCATTATCATTCAGCTTCTTACCCAGCTTGCTACGCCTCTTGCGCGGTTCCGATAGCAGCGCGGTTTTCTCCACGAACTGCTGCAGTAGCGCGGAACTATACACCGGCACCGGATTCTGATCGCCGTTTTCACTGGTATCCGAGTCCGCTCCGAGTGACATGCGCTCGATCGCCTTTGACACCAGCCGACCGCTCTCGGAATCCTCGAAGCCGTCAAACGGCGCGTCTTCTTGCTCTTGAGCCGGTAAAATCGCCGCCAGGTCCTCCTGATTGATCTCTTGTAACGCGTGGTACTGCTGCAACTGTTGCTGCTGCTGTGACGGCATACGGCCCGTCGACGAGTCAGAGTCTTCGCTGCTACATTCCGAGGACTGGAGGGGGTCGTGAAAATTTATTATGCACTGATATATCTCTTATATGTTGGAATTGAGAAGAAACTTAATATCTATCAATTAGTTTATGCTGCTCAACTGAGGCGTTCTTACAAAATGATTACCTTGTTCCCGTGATTGGTTTTTAATCTTTTCGACACGTTCCTTCTGCCCTTCTCGCACTTGATCTTCTCAGATTCTTCTTTCTTCGGACCCTTCATAGTGATCTTCAATTTCAATGCTCCCTGCAATAACACGATACATAAAGTAAACTATCTTTTCATAGGAATTGCTGTTATTTCAGAGGAAGTCTCTACGTGCTTGTTCAAAGTTAGTTTCTTGAATGGAGAATGTTTGTTCGCTGTGGTCAGAGGAGCAATCTGAATTAGATCCGCTGTCGTCTCCCTCCTCCTCGTCGCCACTACTCTCGTCGTCTGACTCTGAGTTAGAATCGGAATAAGAACAACTGTCTTCGGTTCCACCAGAGCTTTCGTCGTCAGAATCGGAGTCTTCTTCAGAGTCGGCCGAATCTGTCCCTACAATTTCAAGAATTGATCGTGCGATATGTATGACACATAGACAAAAGATGCTCCAGTTTTTGCAACGTTTTATTTTCCTGAGACGTTCTCCGAGCAATTTCAAGTTAACTTTTTTTTTAACTGTCGAGGCACCAATAGTTTCCAAATACAGACAATTGGAAAAGTGGAACTTTTCGCGAATCACACTTCGAGCTATCAAATAGACAATAAAATTATTTTCCCCGATTTATTTCAAACAGACTTGAACACAATTTTAATTTCAGATTTGGCTAAAAAGATATGTTGAAGACTGAAAAGTTATCATAAATAATGATCTCTCTCGATATTTTCACTAATGAAAAATTAATTCTAAATTTGTTGAAGAAATCTCAGTAAAATTAAAAGTCGCAAGAACTGGGACATCCTGTATATATATATATATATATATATATTTGTTGATATGTTTGTGCACATGAGATTCCAATGTACCATTAGGTTCAGTAGCAGGATCCCAGCTACCACCGCCTTTTATGGCATCCATATCAACGGTCGAAGGAAGTTCTCTTTCTTGCTCCCCATCGTTTTCCGCCCAATTCCAAGTCTGCAATCCTATCTCTGAGGCATGTTGAATAACAGAGCTCCATCCTGAATCACCAGACATTTTTCAGCTTATCTGACATCCAGTAGAATGGAATAGAATAGCATCCCTTATTCTTTTGATCACTCATCAAGCTTCTTTACAATAACAAAAAGCATATCTTCGAGCTTCAACTTATAGATGTATTTATTTGGCAATTATCACTGATGTCACTTTTGGTACCACACACAAGTTTTGCCGAATCTCACTATACTGTAACTCTGTAAAGCAAAGTATACTATCATTAATTTCACATTTTGACCATACAAATACTGATATCTATAGTCAGATCTTATATTTAAGACTATGTTAAATTTATCTTCACATATTGTTGACAGCTAATTTCATCAGCTACGAAACATGTGAAGATGAACTTGAGACAATTTTAAATATAAGATCCGACTATGAATAGAGGCCAAAAATTGATATAAACACATTGATAACATAAAAGTATTTTCCTCATATCAACAAGACATTTTACAAAATCCTCCTTGGAAAACAAATTGTAAAGAACAATTTTCAATTTACAGATGAGCTTTTTGGTCTACGAAAACAAACATTTGTATCACCCGTTATGAGATTAATAACAACAGATTTATTAGAAACATTTCCAAGCGTTTTTAGCTACAGTGACATTTTATCACAATCCATAGAAACATACACACACAACACGTCACTAATAATAATAGCGTGAAGGATATAAAAAAGAATATCGAATAAAAAAGGAAAACATTATTGGTCCGGCCAGCGTCGTGAAATGGTGTGATCCCAAAGAGGCGCGTCACGCATAAACAAAGCGAGACGCGTGAACGCACGCGTGAAATCAGAGCACCGTCCAAACCTGTACGGCCAGCGTAGAGCGACGCAATTATGTGGTAACGCGCTCGAAAGCGCTGGCCACTCGTCGGGGACCGTTACCTGGCCACCGGACGTAGCGTCGAAGGTGCCGATACAGTCGGGCGATCGGCAACGCGACGACAGCTGTTTGTTCTCGCGCTCAGCTCGTTAGCGCCAGGTGCGTCGACGGAATTTGGCGCGAAATGTCGCCGCGACAGCACGACACAGCGCAGTGACGCACCACAATGAGCGTCGGGAACGCGGGAACGGTGCCAGCGGTTGGCGCTCAGGTCGCTGTGGCACGGTCACAACGACGAGGTGCGACGTGCGTGGCGACGAATACGAATGTAAAGTTTGATGTTTACGTCCTAACGCGCGATCACAAAATGGCGCTTCTCGGCGACGTACTTAGCGGCAAACAGTCCGCGGAGCGGTCGTGCCGATCACTAGGCTCGGCCGGGGGGGCCCGCAGTCCGACTGCGCGCAGCGGACGCGACGACGTACAATGACTACAGTCGCACCGGCCGTGCGTTGTCGCAAATCAACGCGATTGATTTCACGATACTCACGGTACGTCAAGTAGATTCGCGTGTGCCTGCCGCGAGATACATCAAGGACGCGTTCCGCGATACTGTGTTGCTCCACCAGCAGCGCCGCCATCGGCACCGTGGGCAGGGTGTTCAAACTCGTTCTTGTAAAAATCGGACGCAGTTTTCAGCGCGTTTGTGACTGAATTAATACTGTTTTTCATTCGACAGAATTGAGCGCGCTGGACATTCGTGGCATGCGGAACGATACTGCTCGAGTACATCGCTAGTACAAGTTTCTTGCACGCTACTGAAACACTCGCGGCTTGGTGAGTGCATAAAGCTAGCTGCACACGATGCTTATGTTGGATTGTTTGCTCGATGGAAATACGGCGTTCTGATTGGTGTATCGTCATCCATTTTTGGAAATGCACCAATTAAAACATAGTATTTCCATCCAATAAGTAATCCAGCACGAAACAAGCATCGTGCGCCACTGGCTTAACATTAGCATATTTTTTCCATTTCTTAGTCCTAGTTTGCAATAAGTTCTACGCCTTAAAAAATTGATTAATCACCATTGATTATTCCTCTATAATTCGATTGTGATTGGTCAATTTCTTAAGGCTTAAGGTGAAATTACACGGTGCGTAATAGAGAATGCGTTATAGAAGCAACCAATCAGCGCTACTCCGTTCTTTTCTATCATGCAAGTTTTGTGCGCTGATTGGTTACTTCTGTGACGTATTTTCTTCCGCAGTTCTATTACGCACCATGTAATTTTACCCTTAAAGCAGCTATTGTGTTGCTATTGCGTTCGGGGAGACCATTAATGCTCTAAACGCAAACATTACTAATGCTGTTCGTGAGACAAATAACGCGAAAGCGATAGCAAGCTTCACGAACGACATTAGTGTAGCACTAGCATTTAGTCCGTTCTTTTTAGTTACACTGCTGAGCTGATTCAATAAGTTAGAATGAGACAAATATATTTTGTCTCACTCTAACTTATTACACCAGTTCAGCGGTGCAGCTAAAAAGAACAGATCAATTACTATATTGTTACTATACCGCAGTAAGTTAGCAAAATTATATTGATATCGAACGCTTGTTAATAAAGCTTTATTCGCCATAATATTTATCGACTACGACTTACAATCATATGCATTGCGTTTAGATATCCAATTGTACGGTTCAACAGTTTCATCACAACTGAATTAAAAAAATATCGACACGAAGCTCGATCGAGAGTACTGAGAAGTAATCGATTCTGTGACAGAAAAAAATCTCGACTATTGCTCGTTCCCATTGGACAACGCGCTGAACATATTTTATCCTGTCGTAAAATGCTGAATCTCGCGGGTGTTTAATAGAAATTAATTTCTAACAAGGTTCTTTTACGAAAATTACTTTAATACCGAGTAAATTAATAATCATGACTATCATGACATTTCTAAGCCGTAATATTCACTTATCTCGGTTGTCAGCGCTGCATCCATGTATTTACGGAGTAAGATTCTTTATAACCTGTGTATAATTCTTGTATTATAAATTTTGATCGCTCTCACATTATTTATCAATGATATAAGAATTTCATTATGATTATGATTGACGTCGTTGTTTCCTATTTCTAGCAAAATGTGCGATTTTGGTCGTCGCACGCCAAATTTGCCGAGCATAAACCGTTAGAGAAGGTTAGGAATATTGGTATATCAGCTCACATAGATTCTGGAAAGACTACCTTGACAGAACGTATTTTATATTACACTGGTAGAATATCCAAAATGCACGAAGTGAGTACAGAATAGGATTGTTACATACATTTTTATAGATAAATCATCCATAATGAACAAAATTCTTTAAGGTGTTTCTAAAAAAGTATAAGAAGACATTAGGAATATACGTATATATGTATATATATATATATATACACACTTATATCTGTTCTTAGGTAAGAGGAAAAGATAATGTTGGTGCAACAATGGATAGCATGGAGTTGGAGAGGCAAAGAGGAATAACTATCCAATCAGCTGCAACATATACGTTATGGAAAGATCATAATATTAACATTATTGATACACCGGGACATGTAGACTTTACAGTAGAAGTTGAAAGAGCTCTACGTGTCTTAGATGGTGCTATACTTGTCCTGTGCGCTGTGGGTGGTGTCCAATCACAGACATTGACCGTAAACCGACAAATGAGAAGGTACAATATACCTTGTCTGGCATTTATCAATAAATTAGACAGGATGGGTGCAAGTCCAAAAAGGGTCTTAGAACAAATGAGAAAAAAACTACATCATAATGCCGCATTTATACAGTTACCAATTGGTCTGGAAGGTAACACAAAGGGATTGGTTGATCTAGTTCGCCAAAAAGCAATTTACTTTGAGGGAAATTTTGGAGAGATTGTCAGGGAAGATGAAATCCCGAAAGACATGAATGCCGGTATGAAAAATCTTGTAATTGCATCGACGTTTCATTCTCTTCTCAGTATTTAATTTTGCAATTTACTAAAATCTTATGTTGATTAGAGGTGAATGAGAAGAGACAAGAATTGATCGAACATTTAAGCAATGTGGACGACGTACTCGGTGATTTGTATTTAAATGAAACGAAATTAACTGAAAGAAATATTATGGATGCCATACGTAGGGCATGTTTGAAAAGAACATTTACACCCGTACTAGTTGGCACCGCGCTTAAGAACAAGGGTGTTCAGCCATTACTGGATGCGGTACTAGACTATTTACCGAACCCGGGTGAAGTAGAGAATTATGCTTTTAAGATAAAATCAGAGTGAGTCGTTAAAAAAATTAACAGTAAAAAAATGATGATACTTTATATATCTGATCTGCTTCTATCAAGGAATTTGATTTAGGAGCGAAATCGATAAAATTGCCATGAATCCTGCTCGAAATGATGAGAAACCTTTCGTCGGACTGGCATTCAAATTGGAGGCTGGGAGATTTGGTCAACTGACGTATTTCCGTTGTTACCAAGGAATGCTGAGCAAATCTGATACCTTGTGCAATACAAGGACAAAAAGGAAGGTAATTATGTTTGCGTATGCACATGATATACTACTTTTATATTTGTCGTACAGAGAAAAGAAATGTCATAATTATATCTCAGATGCGGGCGCAAAAGTTAGTTCGACTTCATTCAAATCAAATGGAAGACGTGACAGAGGTTTATGCTGGAGATATCTTCGCCTTATTCGGTGTAGAATGTGCGTCCGGTGATACCTTTGTAAAAGATTCGAAATTAAATTTGTCGATGGAATCGATCTACATTCCTGATCCCGTGGTGTCTATGTCCATTCAACCAAAGAACTCAAAAGATCGAGACAATTTTGCCAAAGCTATGAATCGATTCACCAGGGAGGATCCAACATTGCGTATGAACTACGATGTGGATAATAAGGTGCGGTTTTTATGTCATAAATTATAGCATGCACCCAACGATATAATTGGCGCTAAGGGATCTTTGTCTCTTTTTAGGAAAGCATAATTTCCGGAATGGGAGAACTACATTTGGAGATCTACGCGCAAAGATTGGAGCGCGAATATAATTGCCCGATCATTCTTGGAAAACCGAAGGTTTCCTTCCGCGAGACTCTAGTCGAGCCGCACGAGTTTGATTATCTGCATAAAAAGCAGTCGGGCGGTGCCGGCCAATATGCTCGGGTGATCGGAATTATGGAGGTAAAGTCCAAATAAAACGCACCTCCTCTTAAGACTTTCTTGTCGCATCGATGGTTTATATTTTTTTCGTAATGAATAATCTGCGTTTTTTCCGATTTAGCCGTTGCCACCTGAGAAAAACACGCAGATCGAATTTTCGAACGAAACCGTAGGCACCAACGTTCCGCGACAATTCATGCCAGGCGTGGAGAAAGGTTTCAAAGCTATGTGCGAGAAGGGCATGCTCTCTGGCCACAAGATTGCCGGTGTCAAATTCAGAATATTCGACGGTATGCATCATTGCGTCGATTCCTCGGAGCTCGCCTTCTTCCTAGCCACGCAAGGTGCTGTTAGAGATGTGTTTGAGACCGGTAACTGGCGGATTCTCGAGCCGGTCATGTTGGTAGAAGTAACGGCTCCAATCGAGTATCAGGTATGACGTTATACGTGACTTGCGCGGTTAATTTAGCACTTATATGAAAAAGTTGCTTCAGTTCATTGTACGGTGAAAAGTTTCTCACGTGTTCGTTGTCCCTCGATAGGGTCAGATAATAGCACAGCTCAGTAAACGAAAAGGCATCATAAACTCAACGGAGATGAACGACGATTGGTGCGCGGTCATTGCGGAGGTGCCACTCAACGACATGTTTGGTTACATCGGCGAACTGAGATCCACCACTCAAGGTAAAGGAGAATTCACCATGGAATATGCGAGATACAGCCCCTGCTTATCGGAAGTGCAGGAACAGCTCATCAGACAGTATCAGGAGTCGCAGGGGATAGTAGTGGACGAGAAAACGCAGAAGTCGAAAAATTGATTGTAGGATATGAAATTTAGTGAAAATTGCGCGACATTATCACGAATAATGAAGATATTACCGTGTGGTAACATCATTTACTACATTTTCTTCAATATATGTGGCGGAAACCGATAAGTTATTGATATGTAAGTGAAACGAATTAAAATACATACGTAGATTCGTACACTTAAAAAATGTGATAATACGGATTGTCGCAGCAGATTGTGCATATATTATAATCCATGTCTCGCAGTCAATATGTATAATTTGCCAGATAAATATAAAAAATACAATTTCTATCTTCAAACTCTCGTTCACTTTTACACGTTTATTCACATACAAAAGAAAGACACCACATATTCCGGATATTTCACATTAAAAATCGCTTTTATTATGCAAATGATCGGAGAGGTTTCCGATCGAAATCGCTCAATTATTCCCTAAATTTCTATTGTATTTTCTAGGGAATAACTGAATGGAATCCGAATAATTTCGAACGAGTCCATAATGCTCAGATATATGGAACTGTTCGAAGTGAATTCGAATCATTCAGTTATTCTCTAGATTTTCTCTTGTATTTTATATAGAATAATTAAGCGAGCCCAATCAATTCCGAACGAATCTTTCGGTTTGTTCTTAGCCAAACTTGCTGTTTTAAAAAATTACATAAACGTTAAAAGGCATGAAGCATACGTACGAAATTCTCACATTTCAGTGTGCGTAAATTTCTTCAATTAATGCAGCCAGTTCAGATAAAAAAGACAGACCATATGATACCCCAGTAAGCAAGAAACATTAACTTTTTGAAATATTAATTTTATGTGAATTTTATAAACATTATGACATGATATTTTCTAAATGTTTTTAAATTACTACTTGATGTAGCATTCTTAAATATTAAAATCATAGTAGTAAAAATATTATTTTTAATATTTGGATCAAATATTGTTAAAAGTGACATTCTATATAACATTAAGAACGACATATTTGAAAACGTTACAAACCATCACTGTTAATGATTTCTCGTTTACTGGGATGTGCTTCGTCCAAAGAGAAGCCGCAGTTTTTCCCCGACGTATTGATTCTATATCTCGCGTCTCTTTTTGTGAGTACCTTACGATTCCCCAAGTCTTCCGGATTCTTTTCCTTTTCACCCTGCGCGTTTCAAGCCCCATTGTTGAGAGATAGCGCGTGACATCGCGATTAAGAGTGCGGCGATACAACATTTAAAAACATCACATTCTTTCTCATTCTGTCTCGTCGTCATGGCGACGACGCCCCGCCCGGCTCGGCGCGGGGGATTGGCGGCCAGTCGGGTGGCGCATGCGCAAACGTCGAGCGCGCAGTACAGCGCCAACGGTCGCGGTGCGATCAGTAGCGCGTTGACGGAGGCGAGGTAGAGGTTGTCGGTACGCGCGTCTCACTCGTGTGTACCCTACGCGCGTTCCTCGGGCACGAGCAGATCGAGCGTCGCCGAGGCGGTTGCTGCTGAGCGCCAAGGAGGGCCCGTCCGGTCACGCATCGCCGAGGACGTGTCGCGGTGTGTGCCCGAAAAATGTAATATGGCGATGGTTGCGTCGTCGAACATGAGCGGCCACATACAGAAGCAGCTTACCAGGAGCCTCGAGCGGATCCTGGAGGAGGCGCACCTGAGCGGCGAGCTCAAGCTGAGCGGCCGGAAGCTGAAGGACTTTCCGAAAGTCGGGAAGGCTGGTGCGGCCGCCAAATACAACCTGCAGGACACCGTGATCGCCGGTGAGTCCCTTTCAATTATGTCGTGTGTATGTAGCGTGTGTGTGTGTGTGTGAGCTGCCCTCGGTTATTGGCCACAGAGCCGATTTCACAAAGGGTGTGAAGTTGGCCGAGAACGGGGAAGCCACAAGCAGGCGGATCGAAAAGGCAATGGCAGACTTTTTTCCTCTTGTTTCCCCTGCGCGATTTAACTTCCGTGCCGCCGCGTTCTCTCTCGGTTTTTATTCAACCGTGGAATTCAACCTGTGCTTGCAACTGGCGGCAAGCTTGACGACAATTCTTTCACTTTGTAACTTGGCACGTAATTTAGACCGCGATATCCAAATCGGGATGTGCGTTCGTTAACCCGTTAAGCCAGAGCGACATAGTTTCGCGGGACGAGATAGAGCGTCGGGAGTAAACTTCGCGTGCAGCCGTGTTTGTGCAAGCTGTCATTAACACATTGCATATTACCTGTGCGTTGAAACGTGAATTTCCAGTATCGGAATCTCGCGTCGTCAATACCGTTATGCGTTAGATCGATGATCTCCCGGCGTCTTGTCGGTGAATCGAGTTCGGGGTTAAAGGTAAAAGGGTAAAATTAGGGCGAAGTCAGAGTAAATAAACGTCGGACAGGAATGCGTACTCCAATTTTTTACCGTATCTGCATAACGAACGATACCGCAGCAGGAAGCTATTCGGTTGACCGAGTGTCTTGTTTATATATGTTTTTTTCGTGAGTCATCAACGAGCTGTATTCGTTCCGCGTAATATAATCATCCCCTCTCTCTCTCTCTTTTCTTTTAAATCTCGACGCGGACCGCCGCCGTAAATATTTACACGTCGATTCTCGCTCTGATGGCGCAGTTACTATATTTACCAATACTTATTAATACTTCCAACCTTGCACGTAAAAATACCGCGATACGTTATTTCCGACGGAGCATCTTCGATTGAAAATTTGATCCGCACGAGCTGATTACGTCAATGAGAGTGCACGTCATCTTCGCGCAATATTAATTCCCTTGGGTTATTTAATAAGCAAATGAGCGCTCATATACACATGTACGTGCACCGATTGTGCACCTCGCCGGTGCATTGACCAGAGAAACCTTTGAGCATTACCTAATAGTGCGCGCTTGCACCTGCCAGGTTCGACACCTGGCATGCATTACTCACCGGTAATTGCAGCCGCTTCGATTGCGGGACTTTGTAGTAAAACGTAGCGTGCGTTGGCAGATTTATTAAACATCCACCCGAGCATCTTCCCGACGATGAAGCGAGGCGAGCAGAGGCATTAACGACCTCAGTCCCGCACTCTCATTGCGCGCTTAATGCCCGGCGCTCGCTTTTTTCAGCCCCGTTGCATTAAAGAGGTTATAAGGCTTTTTGTCGTATCTTGAGTGACGCATCAAAAGGACTACTTATAAATTTAGTATTTATCAAGCAAAATTATGTTTCTGTTATAGCTTTCAAGTTTCGGAAGAAAATAATTTTTCCCAAATTTTCCCCCAAGTTCTTTGGTTTCTTAAATTTTTTCTACGAAAAGAAGTAAATATAGCAGGTTTTAACATACGTGAATTTTCTAATCGAATTCCTGTACTCTTGGGACAGGAAGGAAAATGGGGAAAAAAACATTTTTTCCGAAACTTTAAAACTATAGTTTCTATACATCTATTTCACTGTCTAAATAATGAGTATTAATTTGAGATGAAGTTGAGGTAAACATATGTATATACACAATGTTACGAATATGAAAATATTGTTAATTTTATTTTTCTTATTAATTCTATATTTATGTATCATTGATTTGACAGAAATACATAGATATAATAGTAGAAAGAAGTACATATGTGTTTAAATATGAATATATGTATTTTGAATATGTATTTTGAATAGTAACAGAAGATATTAAAAGTAGCAATTAAAAATAGCACACTAATTTCAAGGAACACGTATAAAAAGTGTAAATTTTTCAATTGAAAATATTTTATTCCTCGAATAATCTTTTTTTTTAACTGCATGAACAGTTAGATAATATTTCAATGTATACGTAGTGCAAGTTTCATCGAATTCTTATTGAACTTATTTCCCCTTGCAATCTCTTTAACTCGATTTGGAGTGTATGCAAGTTTTCTTCACTTCCGCACGTCAATTAACGCTCCGGGCGATGATTGCGATGATTGAATTCGAAAGAGTAATTACTTGATACATTTAATTGGCCATGTCAAGGAAAATTTATCGGTTTAATTCGATCATTATCGACGTAATTTGTATCCGTAGATTACGAAGTAACGTCACGTAAACACAATTCTTTTTCCTCTCGTCTTCGCAAAAAGTTGGGAGACGCTCGCGTTATAAATTAATGCGACGAGAATTTTTCTTTTTTTTCCATTACTTTATGAAGTATTCACACCATGATTAAATTTGATTGTATGATAGTCGAGGGTAGAGGCTAGATGGGTCGAAAGAAGAAGAAAAAGGGGCCGACATATACATGCGCGCGCGCGAGTTAATTTATCTCACTCGAAATAATTAACGCCGTAGACGTTTGCACCGGCGCTCTCGGGTCTCGTACATCGGAGTGGTAAAATCCACGAGCCGGAAGGTTGACGAATCCAAGTTTGGGCTGAAAAAGCGGAGCTGAAATACCTACGCAAGGTTTTATTTCCTCGTGGGGCGCATGCAGGCACGCGTAAACGGCGCGAGTAAACACACACGGGACGACAGCAAACTGCGAATGGTCTGGGGAGAATGTAGTGAAAACCTTGACAGCACAATGTTCGTCGTCCGACGTACGTTAACGCTGCATTTCATCCGTTTGAAGGTTCAAGTGTTGAACAATTAGTTTCATCACGATCCCGCATTTTATCTCGAATTATCGTATCTCGTAGGTTTGATGGAAAAATTTATATATATGTAATCTCGGAAAGAAGAATAGGCCGATATTCGTTTTATTTTTCCACAGAGGCGTTTGTATATCTTTTGAAATCTAGAAGATATTCTTGATCATAAATTTTGTCAGGAAAAATTATTCGATTTAGATTTCATTCTTTAATTGTCGAAAAAGTTAAAATTGTCAAAATTAATCGATCGATCGTATGTATGCGCGTGATCTTGAAGCATGCTTGTAAATTCTGTACACGGAAGAAAAGGTTTCGTTGGATTTAGTATACGTATTTGACTTGCGTTTATTTAATCCAACATAATTTAATATCAAATACCAAATTTTGTTTGAATGCAAATGTTGTTTCACTGAAGTAAACTATGTTATTTGATAGAAAAAAAATTATATTTTAGAGGAAATAATATTTCTTTTTAATAAAAAGAAATTAATTTCGTTATATATTTAATATTGTTCCGCTGAAACAAAGAAGTTCTTTACTATTTCCATAACATTGTCATGTTTGGGTGAAAACACGAAAGAAATATGTTATTTGACTCAAAGATATTTATTGCTTGAGAAACCAAACATTCCTTTTGTTTGCTCTATTCCAAACAAATTTATTTCCATTAAAGAAATTGTATTAATTCCAAAGAAACATTTTTCTCTGTGTGTACGATATTCACAAGTGACAATAAGAGAAACGGACATTAACCCTTTTGCACCCAAGCACATGAAATGCCACGAGCGATGGCATTTTTCACCTTTCGCGACGTTGTCTCGTCCCGCGAGCTACCTCTCGCGATCGTAAGAAAAGGGTCTCGCAGGGGGACTGCGAAATTCCCGAAATAGACGGAACGATGAGAAGTGAGAAAAAGCGGTCCTGCGCTCCGCGACAAGATTACGCGCCGAAGTTATGCGTCCGCGGGCGGGAATTTATTTCTGTCGCACGGCCGGCGCATTAAACGCGCGACGGCAACGCAAGAGCGCACACTCCCGTCCGTAGGTCTTTCTCCTTGTCGTGCACAAAGGACTTTCCACGTTATAATTTTCTCGGTCGATAGATCGGTCGCGTCCTACTTCTCTTATCAGCTTCGGCTGCGACCTGAATGTTTAAAACGGCGGTGGCGGTGTAATGACGACCGCGCGGCAGGACAACACTGTTATCGCGGCGCACCCAGTATTTCCTGTTACCGCGATAAATATTGTGCGCCTGACAGCCGATAATTTCAAGAGCGACGCGAATTACAGGCGGCTAGCTTCAGCGAGTGAGAAGAGAGTGTGCGTCGCGCTTTCGACGCCGCCGATGCGCCGGGTCGTTCCGAAACAGAAGGGGTATCGCCCCGGGTCGACGACGCCTCGTTGTTCCGCAACTCGCGGCCTACGAAATCGCTCGGTCGCATAGCGGTGAAATTACCGTCGCGCCCATCGGCGACATCACTCGAGCCGTTGCATTCGCGAAATTTCACACATGAGTTCACCGAGAGCAATATCGCGATGCTAATGCGCCGCGTCAATGACTATATTTACATGACAACCTAAAACCTGATTAGTAACACCCTACGTAATCTACGTTCGCATGGCTAAGCGTAAAAGCTGTGTGATAAGTCTCGATACTGCAACTACCAGTGTTGCGTGTCATACATATAGTTATGCCATAATTATTTATGCGCTAATATAATAGTCGCGCCAGTGGAAATTATCAAACCGGTTTTATACACGGAGAAAGAGGTTCTTTGGATTTAATGTGCGTTTTTGTTCGACATTTGGACTTGTCTAATATAAACAACGTAATTTAAAGTCAAGTATTTTGTTTGAATGAATGTGTTGTTTTACTAAAGAATACCATGTTGTTTGATAAAAAAAAAAGGACAGTATTATTTTGAGGAAATAATATTTGGTTATCTATAACAAAATTTATTTGATTATATATTAAATGTTGTTCCATTGAAACAAAAAGAAATTCTTTAATTTTTTAATATAATGTTACTTTTTTCAACTAATTTATTATTTGTGACAACCATTAATAAAAATATGTAGAAAATATTTTGTCTGATATAAAGATATTTATTTTGACAAATCAAAGAATCCTCTTTGCTGAATCAAACATTCGTTTGTTTGCTCCATTTCAAAAAAAGGA